TCCCGAGCTCAAATATTAATCTTCCCTATATGCAATTTCATCTCTTTGGAAATCTAAAAAGACAACTACATTTCGTGGATCATTGTTTAAAATAATAAATGACCGTCTATATCTCCCTTCTAAAATTAACTCTCAATTTGCCTTTTGTAAATTTTTTTTTTAAACTTTGACTAAATATTACGAAAAAATATATTGAGTTTTCATATAAATTTAGTATCAATTGATTTATTTTGAAATATAATTTTGAAATATTTTAATTTTATAAAATATATTTATATATAAATAGAATTATTAATGGTCAAAATATTGCATTTGAGATATTAATTATCAAAAATTAAATGAGAAGTTGATTTTAGGAGGGATAGATTATATACTTCCTCCGTNTTTTTTTTAAACTTTGACTAAATATTACGAAAAAATATATTGAGTTTTCATATAAATTTAGTATCAATTGATTTATTTTGAAATATAATTTTGAAATATTTTAATTTTATAAAATATATTTATATATAAATAGAATTATTAATGGTCAAAATATTGCATTTGAGATATTAATTATCAAAAATTAAATGAGAAGTTGATTTTAGGAGGGATAGATTATATACTTCCTCCGTCCCCTTTTAAATCGTCTGTTTTGACTTTTGGGCATATTTAAGGAAAATTACAAATAGAGTTGATTTTTCGAAATTGTCATACTTTTTAGAAGGGATGATGATGAATGAGAATATAATATGGAGAAGATTGACTTATTTTAGAGGTAGTTTAGGTATTTTATTTTTAAAAGTTTACGAAAACAACTAACAGGCAACTTATTTTGGGACGGAGGTAGCTCCATTTTGTTTCATTTAGAAATATAATTTTCTGAAAAATCTACTACTACAACAAAGGAAAAGATTTTTGGAAAAATTTTCATGCCCAAAAAAATCTAATTTTTCTGCTCCGTTGATTTCAGTGGCTAGGAAATAGCGTGGTCTGATTTTTTCTTAGTCATTGGGATTGAAATTACAACGCATTTATAGTGTTTTTCTCCACACGACTATATGGGCTTGAAAAGGCAGACTTGGGGAGATGAACCAATCTATCTAATACTCCCTCTCTCCCAAATTATTTGTCACATTTGTATTCCCGAGTTAAAATATCAAGTTTTTTTTAATTCATTTTATTTATATATTGGTATAGAAATAAAAAATAAAATTTGCATTAAAAAAACTACATGAAAAATTCTTCGAAATAAGAGGTGTCAAGAATATTTTATTTTATCAAATAACCAATGAAAACGTCGAAATAAACAAAAGTTACCGCGACTATTGAAAAAACATATGTTGTGAATATTTAAGGAGGGAGGGAGTATATATCAACATACCAAACTTACTAAATGAACCCTCTTCACTTCACATATCTTCCTCATCTATGGAGTATGATGATGTTGGCGCTGGCCACATGAAAAGTAACATTGAAGGAGAAAAACTGAATAATTTGCCATTGTTTCTGAAAGATTTGCGAGTTGAAACTACAAAAAGGAATGGCTAAACAATTCTTTATGAAAAAAGATAGAGCGAAACAAAAAAATAGTGGATCTAGATCGAGAAAAAAACAAAAATTTCTAGACAAATAAATGAGACGACGAAGGTCACGCTAAATGAGACTTATTGTGCGGTATCTAGCAAAATCTCTAACTTTTATGTGGGATTTTAAATTCCATTTATACTCAGACCTAAAAAACCATCGAAATCCATATTTTATAAAATAGTTTGAAAATTTACCGATTTTTGAATATCATTAGATTTAGAGGGAAATTTTAAAATTTGAACTGAATATATTAAAATTTTTAATGACTTTTTAAAATTCGAATTGAATACTCTCATAGTTAAAATGAATTTTTAAAATCTTAATTGAATACCACTAAGTTTTAAAATATGAAAAAGTCCAACAAATTCCAAATTGAATACACCCCTTCAAGTTTTTAAAATCCATTGGAAACAATCATATGAATTGAGAGCCAAACAAATGTGCATTGGAGCATAAGTTTTAAATCATGCCCATAGTCGATTACGTAGATCTATAATCTAGAATCAGATTTGTTATTTCAAGAGAAATACTCACAAAAAATAGCAACAACACAATTGGGAATTTTCATCACAATATTAATATGGGTCTTCAAAGCAAGAATATTTGGAGTTTATTTGGTTAATGTATTAGGTCTAAATGTTATTACTTCTTGATGAATTTGTTTTGGTTAATTTGATCATATACAAAGTGACAATGGTGCTTGGTATTTGGTGTAGTTGTACAAACTTATCTTTTGAAGGGAGATTGCCATATTTTTATTCAACTCCATTGTTGTTATCTTTGGTTTCATAGAAAAAATGTATGGTTTCTAATCTATTTAGAGAACTAAGAGTGAGTATTAAATTTTTCAAGATGTGCATTAACATAAGAGTTCTTAAGACTTTCTCTTTCATATACTTCACACTAATCAAAATTACTATATGTCATGATGATTTTACGTTTTAATTATATATTTGAATTTGGATAATTATATTATCAAGTTCTCAACTTTAAAATTTTTGGAAAAATTATTTTTTCGTGCAACACACGGGTATGAATCTAGTGAAAATTAAAAAGAAGTAAGAGTGTAACAATGCAAATAAACAAATTTAAAAATATTTAATTTCTGATAATATTCTCGCTAATTTTGCCGATTTAAAAAAAGAGTTAATACTCTGTATTACTTTTCGTGTAGGACTGGGCGGGCCCAAACTGTTGTTTCTTGTCAAGGCTGGCCAATTTGGTACGTGGGGACGTATCTATAAGTTTGAAATTCGGTCCTCGCTCGAAGAAATCCCTTCCATTCATTCATATTAATCACTGTATATTTGTATAGGAATTATTAATGGAAGAAGAAGAAAAAAGAAACCAAGTTCTTTTGTCTTTACTAAGTAAATTACTCTTATGAAATATTTGCACTAAATAACATTAAAATTTAAGTCATTTCTCTAAATAACACTACTTAAACTGTTTTTTTCTTTAAATAACACTTAATAATGTCCAGTGATGGCGAATATTTGCTTGAATAATGACTAATGCATAATGACTAAAAGTGCTACATTGGAAGGAAAAACATATGTGGTGCTATTTAGGTAAAGTCATTATGTTTTAGTGCTATTTAAGTAAATTCCTCTAAAATTATTGAGAGTGCGAAATAATAACTCTAGCATTTTTTAGGATGAAGGAAGTATCTCACTTGAGTTTAAAACACGTTTCATATATAGGTAGTGATAACCGCTCTTGCTAAAACACTAAATATACTCTCCCATCTAAATGCACCATGTGATGCGTAAACATCTTACTATTTAAAAAAATTACAAACAACATTATATATTACTCCATCTGTTCTATAAAAGTGTTCCTATTTTGACTTTGTGTAAAAATAAGGAAGTGTTAAATTGTAGTTGACTTCCAAATTTGCTCTTGATGTGATGAGTAAAAATAAGATGTGATGGATTGAGTATTAGAGAAAAAGTATGATGTGATAGGTAGGGTATGAAAAAGTAAGGGTAAAAGTGGTTTTATAATAGAAAGTGGAAATGTTTTGTTGGAAGTAAAAAAAATGAAAGATGAAGAGTTTTTGAGAACGGAGGGAGTAGTTTTTAGAACTATTTATCGTTTATTTCATTAATTTAATTTTCAAAATTTTTTATATAAATTTTAATTTTTATTTTAAAACTTTAGCATTTGTTATTTTTAGTTTTCATTAATTAAAATAGTTTCCATCATTATTTTATTCAATGATAATAGCTTTTGTTTGAAACTTACCATTTTTTATATACTATTCTAGAATGCATTTTAAAAAAAACTTAAGAAATAAAGCTTGATATAAGTGCTATTTTTTTTCAAAAAGAAAGCTTGATATAATTTTATAAACTACGTACTCGCCATTTTTCCTTTATTTTTATCACTTTTCAAAAATAAAGATATACATATACATATACATATACATATATACATACACACAGAGACATATATACATACATACATGCATACATACATACATAAGTGTGGCGAATAACCATTTTAAGTGCGCCAAAATACTAAATTTCTTGTAGTGTCTGTAGACTATGGTTGTATTCGAAAGCGATAGTAATTCACAAATGACACATCAGGAGCGGCCTTTGGAATTTTGTATGAAATTATATGTTTAGCTATCAAATTAATATCAACATGATATAAGATCAAAAAAAGACTATTTGTAAAAATGTACACATAAAAGAAGAATTACCAAAGTACTATTTAATAAGAAAGAGTAAATAGAGAAACTGTTTCTTAAAAAATTCATCAAAGACCCAAACTCTTGTTTCTTGTTAAGGCTGGCCAATACGTGGGCACGTATCTATACGTTTGAAATTCGGTGACGAAATCCGTTCCTTGATTCATATTAGTCGCTGGAATAGGAATTATTAATTGAAGGAGGAAAAGAGACACCAAGCTCTTTAGGGTATTATAGTGTATACGACGTATACAGCATTTGATTGATAGACCAAGCATTAATAACATGGAGACATTTCGTCAAAAAAAAATCAAAAAAAGAAAATATAAATTTTAAAAACAAAACTTGATAGAAATTTTAAAAACACCGTATTCACCGCTTTTCCTTTATTTTTATTACCTTTCAAAATAAAGATAAATATTAATATTAATAGAAAAAATTATCCAAACTTTATCTATTCTTTAAAAAATAATTGCACATTTCAGTTGTGTACCATAAAATTTGCACATTATGTATCATCACAATAAAAGGGAATAATTAATTAATTATTTGTCTCGTGTTCACACGCACAAAACCACGGGATAATCTCCCCCGGCCCCTATAAAACCCGTCGTCCCCTCCTAGTTTCAAGTCCATGCATGCATCAACGTACAACACCCTCCTCCATTATCTATCTATCATCTAATCTGATCTAATTAGTATTGTATACAATAATATACCTTCCGATCCTCAGGTTTGGGAATAATGGCGGCAAGGGTGGTTATTAAGTCTTCAGTGTGGTTGGCGGCGGCGGCAGTGGTGGTCATGCTGGTGGTGGCGTCAGCCCCCAACGGTGGTGAGGCGGCGGGCATCACCACTTGTGGCCAGGTGGTGAAACCCCTTATGCCTTGCGTACCTTACTTGCAGGGGGACGGTGCCTCGCCGCCGCCCCCAGCTTGCTGCCAAGGCATCACAAGTGTAAACAGTCTGGCGCACACCACTCCCGACCGCCAGACCGCTTGCAATTGCCTCAAAAACACCGCCATGAAATTGAACGGGCTCAAACCCGCGCTTGCCCTGTCCCTTCCTTCTAAATGCGGCGTGAACATTCCTTACAAAATCAGCATGAACACCGATTGCACCAAGTACGTCGATCGCCGTCGTCCATCTCTTCTTCTTCTTCTTCTTCTTCTTCTCTTCTTTTTTCTTCTTCTTCTTCTTTTCTTATTTGGGGGTGATCGGGTGGTCCATATATAGCATTTCTTATTATGTACCTTTTTATAACTAATGTGTTCTTTAATTTGTTCGCATGCAGGGTGAATTGACGACGCGGCCGACAGTTGACCATGGACGGCGACATCAGATCGATCATCAACCATTTAATTTCCATGCATGCATGCATCTACTAGTAGTAGTAACAATAATAAAATACTACTGTAATAAATACGTCATGATGATCCTATTTCGATCCGATCCATCCCTTTTGGGATCTGATTCATTGATTGATTTAGGAGCATCCGCAGTCATGATATATCTATCGATCAGTACCTTCCTTAATTACCTATGTTGCTAAGTATGTTGTGTTGTTGTAGTGTCTGGTTGTTCGTTACGTTGTCCTCTTTTCTTTTTTTCTCATTTTGGGCTAGTGGGTGGTTCACCATGTGCCATGTTGCCACGGGTGGCCGGCGTTCAATTAATCCATCAATATAATGTTTGTATTTCACTTTAATATTTCTCCGGTTTTACTTGTTGTCTACATTTTCGTTTTTGACCCATCCAGAAAAGGTTTTACTTTCCACGCTCAAAAGCAACTCCATCGCCCTTTTAAGACCAAAATAACAATTTACACTGCCATTTTATACTACACTCCCCACATTGCCACAATGTAACTGCCACATTAATTCTCACCACCACACTATTTGACCAAAAAAGTCAAATTAAACCAATAGACTAAGACCAACGGAATGGCTTTTATATCATCAAATTGGGGCTTCCAAGAGACCTCATCGCAAAGAAAAAAAAGAGTGCGAAAATCTATGCAAAATCTTGTAAACCAGAGTTTGAATTACTGCAACAATAGCATCCTTACATTTCAAAGGAGGGTCGAGATGCAGAGCAACAGAAAAGCCATTCGATCGAGCAGCTTTGCTCTTGAACTGTGAATTATCCTCCATATATCACCTGAAAGAGAACATGCATCCATCCAAAGAAAAGGTGTTCCACTATTTCTTGTTCATCACCACATAACTCACATTATATTGCCTCTCAATATGAAAAGACTTCAATTTATCCGTGTTTGGCGGCTTCTTAGGAGGCCAAGCCAAACCACAAATGAACATCTTGAAGGAATATACTCTTTTTTCCAGATGATGGTTTTCTAGATCATAAACTTTTCCAGAAGAAAGAAACCCATTGATGCACAAATGGAAGTCTCTCAGCAAAGTACAGGTTGTCAACATATATATCGTTGCAAAGGAATCTCTGATGAAATCCAACATCTTCTTCATCAGCATGGAGTCCACCTATGCCCACGGCTTAAAGTGTATGCAATTAGTTAATTGGACTTTGATCGGAAACAATTATGGTTATATTCAAGAAGCATTATTCCGTGACACAAATTAGATGCACATGAAGATGAATGCAGACAACTGCTAAAGGTCATTTTACAAAATTCCATAAGCAGACACTTCATGTTTCGGTCACACACAAACAAATATGGACAAATACAATGTTTTCTCGAATCCTAAAACATACCGGTGCTTTTCAGTTGAGTCTTCATTCAATGCTCGGTAGTTTTGTAATGTCCTGATCATCAACCATATATGTACTGTTATCATCAAGAACAATTCTCTCTAGTCGAACCACAAGAGTATTTATTGCTGAGTTTTCTTGTCTCATTCTATCTACTTCATTCATCAGTTCCACATTGTGCTTCTCAAATTTAAGACATGATGAGAGGCGGTCGTGCAAAACGACATTCTCTCTTTGCAGATCAGCAATTTCTTTCCTTAATTCATTTAATTGCTCTTCCAGAACCCAGTTTTTTTTTCTTTGCAGATCACCCTCACAATCATCCTTACAAACAAATACATATTCAGTAACGGATGATGGAGCGCAAAAAGAGATGGGAAAAACAATAGAGCATCAGAGAGAAGATATGCTCACATTGCTGCTGATTAATACAACAGAACCTCCGCATGAAATTAGTGGATTCTCTGCTGGTTCAGTTGCACTTTCTACACAATAAGGTCCAGAGGTCACCCGACAACCTATTTGCTCCTGATAGGCTTCTTTACTGATTATTTTCACTGATTCCATCTCCATTTCAACCATAAATTGTTCTCTTATCTGGTAAAGGGCTTAGATTAATCAAAATTGTTATACACTTGGACCTGACGTGTGTTGCTACTAATATACTATTTAGCTTCAAAGCCTTAGAGAAATCGTACAAAACAAGTTAAAAGAGGAAAGGAAATTTACATCAGAAACATTATCTGATGATAGCTGCAGCTCAGTTTGTCCTGCACTTTCCCACTGTGTCTCTAGCAACTCTTTGATTATTCCAATCTCTGATTCGTCAGGAGTCAATTCAACGCTCGAAACAATCTTGGGTAAAAGAATAAATAAATGGGTACATTTTGATCACCAAACATTTCTACTGTGAACCGTAGCGACTTTATTAGAAAGCATATTAGTACGGAGTACTATTTTATCAAGCGTGGCACTGTTAGGAAACAAAGGCATAAAACCAGTTTGTAATCCAGACGCGAACAGGCATTATTATTGCATTACTGAAGAAACTATTAAACAGTGAGTCAGTGACTATGGTTCTACAAAATTTCACATAAAGTTGGTTTTCCCAATCATCTGAAATAAAAGCAATAGAGCCAAGCACTGAAAGAATAAATTTGCGAGGACATGAAAAACAATATAAGAGCATCTTAAAAAATACTCTTTCCGTTCTGTAAAAAACCTTCACTCTCACCTTTTTGTCAGTCCAAAAAACAATCAGTTTCTTTTTAAAGGTAAGAGTGGCTCCAACTATACACTCTCTATACTCCTCTAAACAAATACTAACCATAAAGTTTTCACTTTTCAACAATTTTCTAAAACTCTGTGAAAGTCAAACAACGAAGTTTTTTTTACAGGACGGAGGGAGTATAGTAATAATAGCAACCAACTATTGTTGAGCTCAAATACCTGATTGTCTCAAAGAGTTTTCAACTTGTCAATGAACCACTGGCGGTGATGGGTTTGTGTAGTTCCCCATAGGCAAACGCGGGGATGATTAACAGTTTTATCTATCTTAGCGGGCCTAGCGATATTAATATGCTCATAACACCATATCTGTGCATATCCACACTGGAAATGTTAAATTCCAAAAAAACTAAAAGATTCAATGTGCTTTAGTCTAACAAGATATGAAAAACCACTACAGAAGATTAGACAATATGACCTGTTGGAGTAATAGTATTACAGAGATATGTCTAAGATGAAACAAAAATAACAATATTTATAGCAACATGATGATTCAATTAGATTGCTAAGCTTACTTGGAGAAGGATCAGACAGCCTCCCACATATTGCACATTGTCCCTCTTTCTCTTGCTCAACCAGTAAAATAGATCTTCAAGAACAGCTGCACCCCAAGCAAACTCGTCCACTTTATCCAAATCCCGGAGAAGGTAAAGGTACCGGGATTCGATTTTTCCATTTGAGTTGGGGAAGAGCAGTGTTCCAAACATAAATAACAGAAATGACCTTAAGAAGTCTTCACCGACAGCCTCTCCAAGAGACTTGAGTCTCTCTTCGACTGAGGCAACAGTAATTTTTCGATTCCAGAGGACAGCACCATAATCTTTTTCCAAACTAAGGAATGGTGTGTCTTCCCTTAGAGCTACAGGTTTTCCCATCACCCTTAATCCCAAGATTAATGCTACGTCCATAAGGGATATGGTAATCTCCCTATGAGAAATTACGAAAACAGACTTGTCGCAATTCCATCTTTCCATAAGCTCAACTAAGAGGTTTTTACAAAGCATTTGATTAGGAATCAAGAGCAAGGTGCCAAACCCAGTCCTTCTTATAGCCTCTTTCTGAGCTTCAGTCAGCCTATTGACTCGCTTGACAAATGAAGGAAGCGAGAACCTAGTACTGAAATTCCCAACCTGCAAACCACAACGACATTTTTTCCTGAAGAATTATAGTGTTCCTTCCGCAAACCCAAAAACGAAAAGAAAATTTGAGTTTGAAACAGGTAAAAACAAATTCAATATCTAAGAAAAAAGGTTTCAAAAAAAAATCGAACGAGCTTACAGAAACCGCTCCATCTTTGGCAATAACTGACGATCTTCTGCTTGTTCTCTTCATTTTATTCAAGCGAAATGTAAACCCTAAGGCATGTTAAACTTCTACTGTAGTGGATTTGAATTGAATTGAATTCCTACAACAATCCTCATGGTTGGTCGCCGCCTTCCACTAAAGCGGGAGGGGTGTGGAGGAGGACGACGAGAAGAAGAAGAAGAAGAAGAAAAAGACTCGAGAAAGAGAATGCAGAAGAACGAAGAAGAAGAAGACTAACAAATCCCTCTGGTATCAATTACAGGTTTACAACCGGAAAATCGTGACAAAAGAAGGAACTCAATTCAATTCCGGAGGGAATTGAACCTCTAAAAGGTTTCCAAACGGTAACTTCGAGGGTTACAGACCAGAGAAGATCAGGAAAAAGTTTGGTGGCGAAGCTCCCGGGCGCCAAGTTTGCCGAAAGCGAGAAGAACCATGCTATACTTACACCATAAAATATACCTCATTTGTACACCACAGATTTGTACAAACATTTCGATGGTTTACACCGACACAAGTGTTAGTTCGTTAATAAAAATTCACACAGACACAAATGTTGGTGCATTTAACAAAAATTAGTTTTACACTAACAGAAAGTGTTGGTGCAAAACTGCGGGGTAGCAAGTAACTTTAGAATAGCATACGCCTTGTACATCTGTATAAAAGATGAACCCCACCTACGGGTGGACGCGGTCCCGGTACGAATCTGCCACTGGAGCCGGAACCGACGGTTCCGCCACCAGACCGGATACTGAGATGGGGCCGGTTACGAGAACCGGACCCAAAATGAGTGGACACGGGTTCGGTTCTGGATCGAATGTTTTGGTACCGGAATTGAGGGTATCGATTCCGGTTCAATTCTTTTTTTCTTTTTCCTAGCCGATCGTTGGGTTGGGTAACAGCTATAAAGTCGTTGAGGGGTGGGGGTTTAACTTATACTCCCTCCGTCCTAAAAATTTCTTTCCAGAGCACTATTCCAACTCACAGGAATTTATATTTATTTGTGTTTTTTCATGGCCTATATGATAAAATAAAATATTCTTGTCACCACTTGTTTTGTTGAACTTTTGATGTAGTTTTCAAATATGTATGTTTTATTTTTTATTTCTATACCAATATTTAAATAAAATAGATTGAAAAAACTTGAGATTTTTCTTCGTTTTGCGCAACGGGAAGAAAATTTTAGAACGGAAGGAGTACCTATATATACCCTTAAAAAAATTTAAAATCCACAAGTCATATTCTCTTAATCTCTTTCTCTAAATCTCTAATTCTTCTCAATTCTCAATACAATCATATTTATATATATTTTTATATTTATATACTATAATCATATATTATATATATATTATATATATATATATTATAATATATTTTAAATATACTATACTATCAATAT